AAAATTGGTACGCATTCTAATAATTTTTACATTGATAACCAAATTTTTTATTTTATTTATTAATTTTTATATTATAAATCATGTAACGTACTATTTTTCTTACAATTGTCAATAATACATTTTAAATTAGATGATATTATAAAATATTTTGGATTTGTTATTATTTATATAATAAAATAATTATAAAATATTGTTGGTATATAATATTATAGTTGGTTAGGTTGTAATAATTTGGGTTTTTTTAACGGATTAGGATTTTCCGCCAATTCGATGTTTTAGTGGCCAATTTTTCATCGATTAGCAACTCTTTATTGTAGTCTATATATGATTATATAATTAATCCATGATAATTCTATGATTTCTTTTGTGTGCTATAAATTTAATGGTCAACATAAGTTCATACAGGGAAAGAACATCTCAATATTCATAAACTAATGAAAACAATGAAAGTTAATAATGTAGTACCCTCATTTCTTATTGGATTTCCTAAAAAACAACATTTATAATGAATTTTAATAATTTTTTTGAATTTTTTTAAGGCTTAATCAGAATGATTCAGCCCGAATAACCGATCCAGATCGATTTTTAAGATGCCCCATCCAGGTCACCGATCCGTTTTTTAAACCACTGTACTAAACAATACCTTCACTGTCAATAATAATAATAAAATCGAATCTTCTAGCTAAAAAAAGAGAGGGACTATCATCAAGGCGGAATTAACATTAGAGATCTACCCAAAAAAAAAAAACATTAAAGAGCTTTTATTTAAATTTTCTTTTCATTCAAAAAATATCTTAAAGAAACAAATTGTAAAACTCAAATATGGTATTGTACACCATGGGACCATCCACTTTGGATAAAAAGGGTTACAATCATTCTGAGCCATTCGATGTGAAATTTAATAAATAAAAAAAAATCATAACATTCGAGAAATTCTATTTTTAATTTTAAGCACAATCAATGACATATCTCCAACAACCCAATTTGATCAACAATAATTGTGATCTCCTTATACTAAAAAAAGAATTTTTTTCGAACTTCATGACTCATCCAAACTATAAAATTTCACATCAAATGGTTGTAAATAATTGTAACCACCTTGTATAAAAAATAAATGATCTCATTATATACAATCCCCTGCATAATTCTAACACCTGTAATTTTCAAAATATATAGGGTTGTAATTTTGTTACATCTATCTTCTAGATGAAGGTTACATGCGTCAAGAATGCTATTTTACAGTGTCCCCTAATGCACATACCACTTTTCCAAGCAAATAATCTCATTCTGTACTTTTCCTCCAAATAAATAAGGGACATTTACAATAATCATTATCATCATCATAACTTTATCCAACTATTTGAGATATGCTACATAAATCACATTCAACAATTCTGCTCCATCATACCTTTAATTAGAATTAGAGCACTTTTAATAATCACGATAATACCCTTGCTTAGAGAGTTCCTCAACCTAAAAAAACAATTATGCTCTGGCAAAGGCCATACCTTCGGTTAGAATTATAATATTTTCAATAATCACGATAATACCCTTGCTTAGAGAGTTCCTAAACCTAAAAAGGCAACTTGAGAGTTCCTCAAGACATTTTTGGAAGAAGCGCCACAGTTAAATGACAAAACAAGTAAATCCTCGAATGTTATACAAGTTTTGAGCCATTAATTACCGAAATGCCATGGCTTATTTAGGGCCCTAATTCTAAACCAGCTCAATTTTGAGCCCTTAATTACTGAAATGCCATTCTAATCCTAAACAGCGAAATTTAAGTACCTGAATGAAATGAAATTAAAAAGTAAACCTCCAATATTGATTGTAATGTTTTGATGCCCCTAATAATTTTGCAAGGGGTTTTGACCCCTCGAATGATATTTTTCCAAAAAATCAGCCACACCAAATCTTTTGGACAAAAAAATTTGAACTGAAGGATATATGGAGGTCATTGAACATAAACTAAGACAAACCAAAAAGGAAACAAGAACCCCAAGAGGATTCAAAGCAGACATGGGAAGCAACCTCCCCAAGGCATGCCTCATATATAGTGAGAGAGGGAGTGAAACAAATGTAGAGGGAGAAAGAAACATCAAGCCTTGGCCGACTTGGAAGACGCAACGCGGGAAGGATTGCCAGAGTTAGCAGCCCCAAAGCCATCGGCGTGGTCGCCAAAAATGCGAGTCCTGAAGTCAGAGACCATGAGAGGGAGACCTTGGCGTAGGGCCACCTTTGGCTCCCAACCCAAAAGCTCCTTTGCCTTGCCAATGTCAGGCTTCCTCTTGTGTGGATCATCCTCTGTGTTTGGCCGGAAATCGATCCTTGCATTTGGGTCGATTGTCTCTTGTACCACCTGCAATTAATCCAAAAAACTCAGTTTCTCAAAACAATAATTCTCAAGGCTTTAGAGAGATATATGCAAGTTCTAACACAATGAACTAGAAGGCGAGAGACCTGTGCGAGTTCCAGCATCGTGAACTCCCCAGGGTTGCCGAGATTGAATGGCCCAACATGCTCCCCTTCCATGAGTCTCATCAGACCCTCAACCTACAATCACCATACAAACAACTAAATAACAATAAAATGGCCATAACTGTAACATGGTTCTAATGCTCAAATGCTTAAAAGTCAATTATGTTGGCTTGACTGTTAATAGCAATGCCTTAAGAAACACCAGTTGAACTGGAATCACCAGGTTTATTCTGGCATCGGTGGGCGGGCAATCCTGGTCTATGGCTCCTAGAATCGCCTGATTTATATGCTGTCATTTTTTTTAATCACATCTTTCTTTGATTCTGCTGATCCAGATCACCGGATTCGGCCGATCTGGATCAGTACACCAAAGGCTGAACCATAACCTGATTCCTGGTTCTAAAACACTGGTTACTAGTAAGCAATAACAACAGGAAAAGCAATGGTGAAAATGTACTGAGCCAGAACTTGCATAGCAAAGCTGGTAAGGAGATTGGAACTTCTTTGCCCATTGAGCTGAGTCCAAGTTTCAAGTTTTCTAACCATGATTTTATAAATAACAATCATATAAACGCTAAGATGTGCATACACATTACAACTGCACATGGGTTTTGACATCAGTAAGGCATCCAATTAGAGCAGCAAAAGGAGCTCGCAAGATATTGCTTAGTTCGTGAATCAAAAAAACGAAATATGATTAGTTAACATGAAATATCGATCCTAAGTATTTTGCTTGTAACAATGATACTAATGTGATAGAATAATACCAGATCGGAAACATATTGGAAACTCCTGGTTTGCTTCCCATCTCCATACACAGTCATCGGTTCCTTTCGCAGAGCCTATGAAAACAAAAGAAATTGTCCGGTTTCAAATATTAGTTTTCGATTGAATGGAGACAATCCATTTGCTTGAAAATTGAACATTCACGTGCTTCCTAGTCAAAGGAAAAGAAGGTTGAACCAGATGCAACTATGCCATCATAAGTAGGCCTTCATACAAATCTGGCCCATCAAATTTGATAGTCCAGTACACATATATGAAGGCATCTGGGGATTATTTTGCTCAATAATGGAGCCAAAAAGAAAGTCCAGAAAAACCATTTAATTGATCACCTGAGCAACGAAATTGCTCACAACTCGGCCATCATCAATACCCATACGTGGCCCATATGTGTTGAATATCCGAGCAATCCTCACCTGCAATTCCAAAGTTTACTAAAATTGATTAGTAAGTATATCTGAAACCCATTAAATTTCCACCCAAAAATAAAGGAAGAAACAACCACGGAACCACTATAACCATAACTTCTATGGAAACACAAAAAAGAAAATGTTTTCAAATTTTGGATCAATCAAGCTGAATTCCAATAAATTGAAGTTTCAGAGAAAAAAAAATAAGACACCCAGGTTCGCAGAATCAGGAAATAAACCCACCCTTGAGTCCAATTCATGCCCATATAACGTAGAAAGATAAAGCATGCAGAGAATTATGAAGAGCTGGGGGTTTGTTGAGGATAACTAAAATATGGAGCAACAAATTCAACTTCACCTTTGCTTTCACAATAAGTCATCCATAGCAAGTTAGCAACCTTAAAAAGATTAGCAAAATGCTCCTGTAATTTCAAAAACTGTTTTCAAACATGACCATTTGGCTGCCAAAGAAGCACCAAAGTACTGATTTGTAGAATACCTTTCTAATCTATGACACTGGAGGATGATATCCACGTAGAAAAACATTAAAAGGCCCTCTCTTTATTGGTATAAAGAGGTCATGTCGGAAAAATAGGGAGAATGGAAGGCAAAATTACATCACTTCAACAAATCATTTGAGAAGTTATCTAATATCCATGTGAGGTTGGGATTTTTCAGTGTTATCTATCCATGAGTGTGTCTAGTGTCAAAGAGAGGAGTTTCTCTCACCCGGACACCATAATCTCTCTCTCTCTCTCTATGAAGCAATTTCTCCTACCTCAACACCAGCACCTCTGTGGTAATCCATGGTTAGTGTCTCTGCAGTCCGTTTTCCCTCATCATAGCAACTCCTAACACCTGCAAAGTAAAGTTTATCCATGAGAACAAGCAATGTGACAAACAATAAATAATACAACCAATTGAGATTAGTAGAAACAAAAATTCCATTTCATGTGCTGAAAAGCAAACAACCATTTCAAACAACAACAAAACAAAGATTAGAAAACAAAATTCATAAAATCTCGCACCCAAATCCCTACCCAATTCACCTTAACCGAGGAGAATTTTTACTAACCTAATTCCAAAATAGCTAGGCATGCTAATTCTTCACCTTTCTCAATTGTACAAAAATGGCCATGAAGAAATGGCAGTTCCTCACTATGTTTGAGCAGAATTGCATGGGAGTTCATTTTTATTCTAATTCTAAACACAAGCTTTGCCCAAGAGGATAGCAAGAATGAGCAAATGTGAAAAATTAAGGAAAAGTTTACATGAAGGGAGATTAACCACCAGAAATAATAAAACGAGTCTAAAAGCAAAGAAACATGATAGTATTGATATCAAAGATGCCGTATTTTAAGGATGAAAATGGTTATCATGGTTGTCTCTAGTTCTGGTAATGGTTAAAGCCAATCAACCAACTGCACCCCATTTTTCCTGTCTGTATATTATAAGGGGTGTAACTGTAAACTAGGAGAAATATTTGCTTACCAAGTAGCAACAATGGTATAAACAAGAGAGAGAGAGAGAGAGAGAGAGAGTACCTATAGGATTAACATTGCCCCAATATGTCTCGACTTGGGGGTGTTGCAGGGGATCACCATAGACTTCACTGGTGCTGGTGAGTAGGAAGCGAGCTCCAACCCTCTTGGCAAGGCCCAACATGTTCAATGTCCCAACCACATTTGTCTTGTGCACAGATGCAAGTCACCAGAGCCTCCAAGAATTAAGGAAACACAACAAGCATCCAGCGAAAGCGAAACAAGGAAGACCCATTTAAAATGACTCCACACATGAAAAGATAGAGAAGGAGGAAGGGAGAGAGATTTAACAAAAATCAGTTCAAAACTCATAAAAAATAAACAAATCTCTGATCATACATCCCAGAATTTCAAAAAGTATCAGAGCGCACACACATGCACATGTATATTATAGAACTAACAGATACCAATAGGGGTAAACCTAGTGAACAAATATAAAGGAAATTATCCCAGATGATTCTTACTCAATCAATCTTTACAAATGAGGTTTTTCAACCACTAAACAAGTTAATTAGAAGTTTTCGTACCAAATGGAGAGCAATCTCAAGAAATATCAATAAGTAATCATGGCTACAGATGAAAATTCAAGTTGCATTATAAACTTCTACAACTTCGAAAAATCAAAACCAACAAAGAAATAAAATTATTTTTTTTTTTTAAAAAAAAACGCAAATGGTTAAGGAAACCAATGGTTAAGATGAAATCATGAAACAAATAGAGGAAAACTCAATCTACCAAACGACTTCCCCAAATAAAATGGAATCCAATTACCTACCTAAATAGATGAAATGAAGCAGAATAGAGAAAACAGGGAGGGATTCATTCAACCCAATTAAGGAAACCATAATTCACAGAAAAATATTCAACAAAACCAAGGAAAATTAACAAATTGGGAATCATACAGAACAAAATTCAAGCCCAAGATCAGAGAAAAAGACGTTATGGAACATGAACATGTGGAAAAGGAAGAAGAAATGCAGAGAAACTTTTACAAATAAATTAAAGAAAATCCCCATCAACCCACCAAAAGATATTTAAGAAACAGAGGGATTCAAGCTGACTCTTAAAAAAGCGCATTTAAAGAAATTAAAGGGGAAAAAGAATCTCAGATCAACCTAATTTAATAATGGTTTATACCCCCAAAAAAAAACGAACAATAATCAGAACAGGCTTCCGCATTTACCAAAATATGATCAAATAAGAAGAATTAAATTCAGAATAACAAAAAACCATCATAAAAAAACTGGTGGGGAAGCAATAAAATTCAATTGAATTGACGAAATGAAACCAATGCAGCGAAGGGTACCCATAGTACATTCAATACAATTACGTTCAGTCCTGTAAAAGTTAAAACTTCAACACATTTCTCTTAAATAAGAGCAAATGAAAACACAGTGTACTATTTATGTTCAGTGCTTTAAAAGCTAAAACTTCTGTACATTTCAAGCTTCAATTTCGAAAAATTGAAGAGTTGCGAAATATAAAACCAACCAAATAAATAGCAGGAACGGAATAAAAAAAATAAAAAATACCAAAAAACACATTGAAAAGCAATTTACCCCAAAAAAATACCAAAAGGGAAAATCAGCTCAGCTCTAGAATTACAAGAAACATGCACAATTGCACACCTATAGATCGGCTCAAATATACAAACAAAACAAGAAACTGCAACTCTGACTAAAAACTAATAGTAGACAAAAAAATAAAAGCCTGAAAACGCAATTAAAATCATTAGCAGCAAGTAAACAAAAACCCAGTTCCTGTAAACATGCAAGTTCACCCCCAATTCAGAAAAATAACAAAAAAACCGAAAGGAAAAGCAGAAAACAAAAAAAACCCAATTCAAAATTCGCATGCAGAATCAAATTCCATCTAATCAAAACAGCGTAAAGTAAATGAACAGAGGCAAAAATGAACAGTTAAGAAAGGATATGATAGTCTTGACTGGATTGAACTTGTAATGAACCGGAGAAGCAGGGCATGCAAGATGATAGATCTGATCAACCTCTAACAAGATCGGCTCCACCACATCGTGCCTTATGAGCTCGAATCGAGGGTTGCCAAAATGGTGCATCAAATTCTCTTTCCTCCCAGTGAAAAAGTTATCAACAACAATAACAGAGTCACCTCTTGCCATTAGTCGATCGACCAAATGGCTTCCTACAAAGCCGCCACCACCTGTAACCACGACTCTCAAACCCTTTCTCTTCAAACCCAGAGGCACTTTCCCTGAACCCAACCTAAACTCACCATTAAAACCCTTATCCTGAAACATGAAACCAGTTGGTAAGAGCTCTCTATGGGGTTCGGGCATAACAAAAACACTAGAATCAGAGGGGACTGAAGGTGTTCCTGAAATGGGTTTCAGAGTAAAGAAGAGAGAGGCTATGGCGAAACCTACAAAGCCAAAGATCAAACGTTGTTCTTTGAGAAGGTAGCGAAATAGAGACCATGGCTTTGTGGGTTTCGGAGAATACACAGAGGAGTTGGGGTGTAGGGGTTCGTCATGGCCTCTGTAGATCAGTTCAGAAGCCATAGCAGAGCGTCAATTGATGGGTTCCTCAATTGTTTCAAGCCAGAGAAAGAAAAGGGCTTGCTCTGTTCTGTGAAGAAGAGGGGAATTAATGGAGTTTTTTCTCTGATTTCTAGAGAGAAAGGGGGATCTCCTAGCTCAGGAGAGAGAGTGGCAATCAGGTAGAAGCATTTGCAGAGACCCCAACAGAGAGAAGATCCTATTTTTGCTCTGCAACTTCTGCCAACTTCTTCCCTCTATTTATATACTCTGACTCTCTCTCTTTCTCACTGCTCGTATGTAATGTGACTTTTCTCTCTCTACAATTTTCCATTTGTTTTCTTTTTTAAATTTTCTCTCTCCACTTTTTGCTGGTTTTGCTGCGCAGTTTGAGTGGGAAAGGACGACACCCAGCTGAACTGAAACTCTTACACCGGGAAAACGAGGAATTGAACTGCTCATAAATTACTGAATTACCCTTAACTTCCATCCAAATCACACCATTATTTTCGAATTCATTTATTTTTTATATAAAGTGGTCACAATTAAACTCCATAATTAAACGTGAAATTATATGGCTACATTTATTTTGTCGTTGCAGTTGGCACACCGACGCATCCGTGCCTGTAGAGGTAAGGTGCACCTTCAAAATTTATCATGGTATATAATTTTGATGTAAAATGTTATTGAGATTATCTCAAAATCTATTTTTATATCTAAGTATAGAATTTTAAATTTCAAACATGGTTAAAATCAAGTATATTTATAAATATATGAAAATCTTTAAAATGGACGGTGTAGATAATATGTCGTAAAATGCATTATTTTTTAGACTTAAAATCTTTGTATATGGCCAAATATTCTAGCTATTTGCCCAGGCCCACAATACCTCTAATTGGTATTGTTTGACTCTACTAGTTTTAGATTTTTCTTTCTAAGATTTATTGAAAATAAATTATTAGGAGCTTGATTTAAGCTTAAAATCAAATTTCGGCCCTTTGGAAAAGTTATTTTTTTCTTTAAAATGTCAAAACAGGTTCTCTAACTTGGTGTCTGGGACTTGAACCTCACAAATTTAGTATTCTATGTGGTATTTGGCATGCCTTTTACAGCAGTGCTGGATGTATACTATCCAATTTAAATAAATCAGGTATTTTTCAAGTTAGGGTTCCAACTTATAAAAAAAAAATTCATATTGTGCGTACACGGATATACAATTGTAATATGCGGAGTGATTTCATGTCATCCACATGATTGTAATATAATAAAACTACATTTTTTGAAAACCATAGTTCTAGATCCCAACAATCAAACTCAAAAAAATTAAATAAAATCCAATTTGCACCTAGATAGGGTCAAAATGAGTCCCTCTCAATAAATATGTACCATCGATTTGGTGAACTTTTAGATATAGGCCTTTTTTAATTGAAAATCCATTTTTCTTTTTCAATGTTATTTATTTAATAATAATAAATCCATCTAAAATTTCATAAAAGGAAAAATTCTCTCTAAGGCCCTGATCTAAATGTCTCACCAAATATTCTTTTTAAATCTATGTTTTTGCAATTCAAAAATGAGGTGCAAATACTTACAATGGACTATGGTGAACACTTCAAAAACATAATTTAAAATAATTTATTTTAAAAATTAACTTTTTTCAGCGATTATTAACTTTAAAATATTTTAATGCAAATTCTATCTCTAAGATGATTTTTTGAAAGAACGTGCATTTGAACACAAGCACAATAGTGGGATGACACACATAAACCCTATGTTTAACAGCAAATGCAAATAAAGCCCCTACAAATGGGCAAAATGGTATTGAAGTACTCTCCCTCCATTTTAAAGGGCAGAGGGTATATAAGGTGTCAACTTTAAACAACTAAATGAGGCGCATTCTTACTATAAAATGTAATTTCAGTATCTAGATTCCTTATGAAGACTTGAAAATCTATTTTCGCCTTTATTTATGTATGGGATTGTATGTAATGAGACTATTTACTTTTAGTATAGGGGGTCACAATTACTTACAACCATTTGATGTGAAATTTCATAGCTTGGGTGTGTCACAAAGTTTGAGAAAATATCTTTTCAACTTTGAGCTTGGTCAACGAAATAAATAAAGCCACCCAATTTCACATCCGATGGTCAAGATTAATTGTAACCACCTTGTACTAAAAGTAAATAATATTTTTACATACTTGCCTTTTATGTATTGTTAAGCTAAAAAAGTGATACAAATTGAGTAAATCTATAAACAAACAAGGATATTGAAAATAAACAGTCTACAAATAATATGTTACAAATTATATTATTTTTAAGACTTGAATTCTCTTTTTTATTCCTATACATCTACTAGAGGTCGATGTCGAAGATCTCCTGATATCAAAACAACATGTTCTCATATATTTTTTAGCAGAATAAAGTTGATGCCTTAGTTACACTTTGAGAAAAGTTTATATAGGGTTGAGGCTCAAAATAAGACACACCTTAAAAATTCACTAGAAGAAGTTGTTTCGATGCTGAAATACCCTAAACTCTGATCATCTGGACCTTGAGATACATAAACGTAAAAGAAAATGGACTCAAAGCCTTGAAAATAGTACATCTTGTAATGTATTATCTAGACCGTCAATTTTTAAAATTTTTAAAGTATTCATATATATATTTGATCTATACTAGTTTTTATATTTTAAATTTTATAATTAGATATGGAAATAATTTTCCAAGTTATCATAAGGATTTTGGAATTGAAATGACATCTTTTGACAATATTTAAAAATATGTTTTACTTTGATTGTTTAGGGCTTCGCACACGCTTAAAGTTCCCCATCTTAAAACCTCTTTGTGAAGGGCAAAATGGTCTTCTTCAAATATGGACATGAGTTCCAAGTTCCTGCATATTTTTTCAAGACGGTAAACGGTAGAGCACTTGTTGGACATTTCAATAAATGATTGAGGTCTTTTGGTCATTTTACTCATTAAGCTCGGACTCCAAATTGGTTATATAATGGACTTAACCGCAGTTTTTGAATCCGTCGGGGAGAGGCATTCTCCTTGTACCAGGCGTCATCCCGGGCACCCTCTGCCTGCCGTTAACTAAACCATGATTTGGGGCCCCTATTATCAATTAATTTCGAGGTTAGCCCTCTCTAAAATGCATTGTATACTTTATGGTCATTTATATTACTTTATACCGTGAGACTCTTCATATATATATAGTTAATTGGAATTATACGTTATAAGATTATTTATATATGAGTCCGTATACTGCGAGGTTATTTATTTTTGGTACAATAAACTATAGTTATTTTTAGTCATAGGATGTAAAATCTAATAGATGAAAGTGTATCACAAAATTTGAAAAATTTTATATTGGACTTTGTATATAAACAATGATATACCTCAACAACCTTATTTCGAATCAAATGGTCAATTATGATTGTGATATTATTATATTAAAAATAAATAGTTTCATTATGTACATTTCTTTTATATATAGGGAAGTGATATGTTACAAAAAGGTTACAATCGTCCCTTGTCATTGAAATTCTACAAGAATGTTACAAAGTTTACGAAACTTTTTTGAGAATTTGATGCTAGTCAATTACACACTCTCAGCTGCCCTCATTTCATATATAATGGCTAAAAGTCATTGTGGTGGCTTTGAACCCTATACGGTTTGTTAGTATGTTCTCGTTTTTTTGTTCGGTATGTTTTCTCTGGACTGCGACTGCAGATGTCGGATCTAAGATCAAACGGCGAGTGGCTCTCTTGATCAAAATTTGACGGCTGGATGGTAAGGGGAGCATAGATCTTCTATGCTGTAGAAAAAGTATAAAAACATTTCCTTTTGGTTTAGACTAAGATTGCATTTTTAATTTAGAAAGGACGAAAGTGCCCGTACTTGGATCAAATCTCTTTGTAAGTGTAGTTTGATAGGTGGGAAATCCTTCCATAGGAGAGAGGTTTTTCACGAGCTGGGAAATGGGCTTCAAGGCAGTTTCCCATGAAATGCTCCTATTTTTCACACTGGCAACTTTCCCAAGAAACAAGTTGTCGTCTAGCAGAAAAGGGAAATCTTTGTATACTTCAATTTAGATAAAGCGAGCCACTGGGCGTTTGATTTAGATCCGACCTTTTTAGAGTATTTCAGTTTTATTTTTTTATCTACAAATCATGTGAATATGGAATTTGGTACGTGGCATCATCTCAATGAGATGTACCTAAAAAGAAATTAAAAATATTTTTGATATCTTAAAACTTTTAAAAGTACTATGGCTTTTTTTTTTTTGTTTAGGATTTTTTTTTTTTTGCATGTACAAGTTCAAGAGAGGAGTGGATGCCTAAATATATCAAAATATTTTATAAAAAAAAGATAAAAAATAAAACAATGTAGAGGTGTGACATTATGGTTGGGTTCATCTCAACCGTCCATTCAAATTGGACAGCTGGATTGGAGGAAGTATATAACTTATGTATAATAAGAGAAGTATAAAAAACCTTTCCTAATGGAAAATCTTTCTCTCGAGATTATTGTGAACCAACGTACCCATTAAACAATGGTCTTCATTTTTCTTTAAAAGAATTAAACGAAAAGGAAAGTAAATATAGCGAAGTATAGGAACTGAAAATGTCCAAATTGATAATGCAATAGGAATTTGAGATACTTCGAAATTAGAAGTTTTAAATGTCATCCTAGAGGACATTATCGTCCTTGGATAAGAGACTCGGCTTAATAATATGGGATTATCACTAACTATCTTTTGTACACGGAGGTCACAATCATTTTCACTCATTAGATGCCAAATTGGATAGCTTGGGAATAGGATAAGTAGTCAGAGAAATTTTTTTGGAACTTTGTGTCTATTCAATGACACTCCTACAGCCATCGATTTTGAAATTTAAGGAACAAGAATGATTGTGACCTGGATGTACAAAAAATAAATGGTTTCTTTATATACAATCTCTAATAATATTTGTAATTGATCTTCCTATAACAAAAATGAAATAACGTTCAAAAAAATATGTAAAAACAAAAAAAATAAAATCTTAAAAAGGGAACATGGGTCTAGAGTTTTGGAGTTTTACCCCACCACCCAACAAAGGAGTAAATCAACATGAAATAATTAGGTGAATTTGGCGTTCATCTAACTTTGAAGAGTCTTTGCTTGTAAATAAAAATATTATTTTTAAAGATAATTTTGCCTGTCCATTATTATTATAACTTTGTTCACCAGTTTCCTTATAGATGATGGGGGTCCCCATGCCTATAGGGTTCTCTCAATAGCTTTTTAGGGTTGGAGAAGGCTAGTTAGCTCTCCATGATTGATGAACCTGCCTCATATAATTTCGAACTTTTTTTTTTTAAAAAAAAATCT